GATGTGATTTGTGGCCTGTTTAGGTTAGTGTTGTAATCGAACAGTGTGCAACACATGCATGATGTACAGGGTGGTTAGTAAATGCCTGGTTAACTGGGGGGAGGTTTGTATCTACTTTCTACTGCAAGTCGTTTAAAAATCCTACTAGATCGTGGTAGCCGTGTGTAAAGCGTTTTAAAAATTTCCGAAGCTGCTTGGCAGCTTCTTCCATGTTTTCCAAAACCTCTGTTGTGGAAGTGTACCGGGTACCCAACAGATATCCAGGCCGGATCCAAATACAACTCTTCACACCGCGTGTGGGCCACGTTGTATTCAGAACCCGACTCGAACCATCTTCACCCTTTTAGCAGGTTCCTTCACCGCACTTCGCCACGAGTGCGACGACTTACTTTCGAGTTTATCGCAATTAGTGACTTTGCCCTTCCAGTCACAAGTTTGTTTATCGATGTCAAACGCCAATCCACTGGGACAGGTGATTTGTTTTAAACCGGACTTTGTACACCTGTACGTTAAAATGCTTCCTTAATATTAATGCTTGAACCAAGGAAAAGTGACCAGGAACAACTGGGTGGAACTGATACTGACGCAGAAAGGCGCTAAGCGCTTCATTCATTCGTTCATGGTCACCATTCCTTCCGTATCGACTTACTCTCGAGCTTATCGCAATTTTTAACATTTGTTTTCCAGTCGCAGGTCTGTCTATCGACGTCGAAAGCCAAACCGACTGGACATCGAACTGATGCCAGTCTGGTCACGCCGTTATTATCACTATTAAAATCACACCTGTTGAGAGAAATCACAATTTAAATAAGCGTTTTCGGTCAGTCTTCTGTCGACTGAATGGAGCTCTCAAGTAGATCAGTGGCAGAAAGTTCAGGTTGAATGTTCAATTTCACTTCAGTTACCTTACAACGTCCCGACAGTCTCCTTCAGTTGATAGTCGGAAGTACTCGTCGGCCGGTCGGTTTAGGCACAGTTCCTCTGAGGTGGGATCATCTGATTCGTTATCATCTTGGGCCAAAACTGCAAAAAATCACACTCATCAAATCGAATTTTTGCCGTTTTTCTTTGCCAAAACATGCTGATTTTTTGTGTCTTTTTGCGATGTATTTTAAACGCAAGAAACATAATTTTATCGAAGGTTTTTGGAGCGAAAACTTAAGCTTTCCTGATTTAAAAAAAGTTGTATCTTGGAAACCGGGAAAACATTCGATGTGCATTCAATACCCTTTAGATCGGACGCTTGCTTTTTTATTTTAGGTTTGAGCGAAAATTCCAAACCTTTTTTTAAATGTTGATATATAGAAAGTAGTTATGGCAAACATTACACTGATATCATTTTTTTTGGAAAAAAAGTCTCCGTAATAATTTTAAAGCGAATTTAAATTCAAATCAGATATTTTCCGCCAAAAACGGCCCAATCCGTATCATTGGTTGCCTATCCCGATTGTGACGTAGCAGGTCATATCAACAAAGTGCCTCGTGTTTATTTTGTTGCTTTCGCAGCTTTGTTTTATTATTTAAGTTATTGTGATTATCATTATTTTATTGATTAATATTATTATCTTGCATAATGGAAAATAGTGCCATGTATGGATCACAAAATAAGTGGTGTTTTGTGCCAGGATGCAAGAATACCTCAATAAGTGCTCCAAACAAACTCTTTCTAACCGTTCCTCATGATTATGCATGTAAAGTTTTATGGGTCAAAGCAGCTAGACGTGATGTTCCTAAATCAAAATCAATGTTTTTTTGTTGCAAGAATCATTTTAATGAAAGTACGAACAAAAAGCTAATGATGAGGCAGACAGAATATGCCTTCGACCGTACTTTGTGTTCTGGGCAAGTTCTACCTTGTAAAGAAGCCTCGCGTTTCAATTCCACATATCCGATATCACCATATTGTTCTCGTGATGCCCAAAATACAAATTTAAGAGTTCATTTTACTTTTAAATAATAAGTGAAATTCTATATATTATTTACCTAATTTAAACCAATACAGACAGATTAGTATATTAAAGAGAGTATGACTAATAATGATATTACGGATTTTTACTTACGCTGGTGCTTTGACCCCCTTAAATTCGGTTAAATTAAAGCGTTCGTCGTTTTTTCAAAATTCGGTAACCATAAAAATATGTACACTTGGTAAATTGTTTGTTGACGCTTTAAGGAATAGTTCTGAAGCCATTTTTTAGTATAGCACAAACTATAAATTATTTAAATCCACAAAATAATTAATGAAACACAACCACACAACTAAACACTATGCACAGAACGTAAACAATCCGCCATTTGTATGACCAGAGACGTCACAACCAATAGGATTGCGTTTTAGAGATTCATGAATAATTTGAATTTTAGCTGAATTTGTTTATTAAATATTTAACAAAATAGCAATAGATATATAGTATACACTTATTTGATCTTTCAAATATATATATTATTATAGATTAATGTTCAGTTTGAAGGAATTGTTGATACAAGATAACACCCTATTGCCTTAAAACCGCTCATAACTCGGAAAGGACTGAACATTTCTCAAGAGCCTTTAAGACCTTTGCGATAGCATGCCTGAAGAACAACCTTTCGCAAGTTTGGATTGATCAAAAATTCATAACCTCCAAAGAGGAAGAAGCTAATATCAGAAAACCAGCTCAAATAGCCTCAAAAGCGCTCATAACTTGGAAACTAGTGAAAATAGCAAACGCAGTTTTAAGGAAGTTTTCATTAACACGTCGCAAAAACTCCTAACCTCTAAAAAGATACAAGTAGAAGTCAGCAAACCGGCTGAAATTTGCTTTAAAACCGTTCATAACTTGGAAACGAATAAAAATACCAGATGCACTTTTAAGACGTTTTGGTTAACACGTCTTAATAGTTATCTTTTGCCTCTTAGTTTGATCACAAATTCCTAACCTCTAAAGAAAGAGGAGCAAAAAAACAAAAACCAGCTCAATATTGCATTTAAGCAGCTCATAACTCGGACGCGAGTAAAAAGGCAACCAGTACCTTTAAGACCTTTGATGAAAAATTCCTAACCTCTTAGGAGGAAGAAGCAAAAATTAGAAAACCGGCTCAAATTTGTCTTAAAACCGCTCATAACTTGGAAACGGGTGAAAATAGCAAACGTACTTTCAAGAGGTTTCCATTAGCAGGTCTCGATAACTATCTTTTGCCTCTTAGTTTGATAAAAAAAATTCTAACCTCTAAAGAGATAGAAGCAGAAATGAGAAAAACAGCTCAAATTTGTCTTAAAACCGGTCATAACTTTAAAACGAGTGAAAATTGCAAACCTACTATCAAGACGTTTTTTTTGGCACGTCGCAATAACTGTCTTTTGTCAATTAGTTTGATCAAAAATTTCTTACCTCAAAAGAGATAGAAGCAAAAATCATAAAACCAGCTGAAATTTTGCCAAAAAGAGCTTATGACTCGTAAACCAATGAAAAACTTTTGACGCCTTTAAAAAATGTTTGGTAAAACCTCTCAAGAACTATCTTTCGTCTATGAGGTTTGATGCAAAATTCCCAACCCCTAAACAGATGTAAAACCGCTCATAACTCGAAGAGGATTGAAAATACCTGAAGTACTTTCAAGATCTTTTCGAAAGCACATCCGACAGACAAGCTTTTCGCGATTATTTTGACCAAAAATTCCTAACCTCTGAAGAGATAGAAACAAACATCGTAAAACTAGCTCAAATTTGCCTTAAAACAGCCCATAACTCGAAAACCAGAGAAAATACCCGTGGTGTCTTTAAAACATTTTCGATCAAGGTGCGAAAACTTTGTATTATAGGTTTGATAAATAATTCCTCACCTTTATAGAAAGAGAAGTAAAAATCAGAAAACTAGTTGGAATTTGGTTTAAAATAGGTTATAACTTGGACACGGGTGAAAATTCCAGATGCACTTTTAGGACATTTTTGTTAGTACGTTTAGACAACTATCTCTTGCCATTTAGTTAGATCAAAAATTCCTAACCTCTAAAGAAATCGAAGCAAAAACGGGTAAACTCGCTCAAATTTGTCCCACTATCGCTCATAACTTGAAAACGGGTGAAAAAAGCATACGTACTTTCAACCATTTTTTGTTAACAGGTCTTGATAACCGTCTTTTGCTGATTAGTTTGATCAGAAATTCCTAACCTCTAAAGAGATAGAACCAAAAATGGGAAAACCTGCTCACATTTGCCATAAAACAGGTCATAACTAGTAAACCAATGAAAAACTTTTGACGCCTTTAAAAAATGTTTATAAAACCTCTCAAGAACTACCTTTCATCTATTAGGTTTGATGCAAAATTCCTAACCCTTAAACAGATCAGCTCAAATTTGACCTAAAACCACCCATAACTCATAAACGAATGGAAAACTGTTTAAATTTTTTGCATATTAGGTTTGATGAAAAATTCCTAACTTCTAAAGAGATAGAAGCAAAAATTGGATAACTAGCTCAAACTTGGGTAAAAGGAGCTCTCGATTTCGAAACGGGCAAAAAGCCTTAGCTGTTTTCAAGAGCTTTTGGCAATCTATCTTTTGTCTCACTAAGCCTCACAGAAGCAAAAACCATCTCTTTTTCAACCTTTCAAGCTCAGCTCGCATTCAACTTTTTCCATTAATATAACGAAAGCGGTCGAAACTACTTGAATATTCTTTAAAACTTTCTGTGCTAGTTTTTCCAAACTCATGTCTAAATCATCCTCTCAACATATCGAATCAGAATGTTGAAGAAATAGGGCTCTTGAGGCACGAAAAACGCCAGTAAAACACATAAACTTTACACCACAAAAATAATTGTTCATCTTCAATAGCGAATCTGCTGTGTGCTCCTGTCCACAAATTGCTTAGAAATCTTGTAAAAAAACATCCAACCGATGAAATACAAAAAAAATATAACAGTTTTTTTTCTTGAAGAACTCAGATGTAAAAGAGACATTAACAATTTTCCAAAAGTTATAGCGCACTTTTACTCGACAATATTTTTCTAATGTACAGTGAAGGAGAAACGGTCAACATCTGGAGGAACACTAAGGTGCTTCCTTAGAGGAAAATAATTCTACAGAAGAACGAAAGGAAGAATGTCTTGAAATCAATTTACAATCTATAAAAGAAGGAAGAATCATCCACTGAAGGTATGAAGCAAATAATGTGATGTAGATGTGAAGAAAAAGTAAAGAAAGAACCGCACATTTTAAATGATCCAGAATTGGTTTTCTTGTTGCCAATTTTCGCAACTTTTCCTATACTGAATCGGTAATTTTCCTGCAATTAATTGAAATTGCACGTGCATTCAGCGAGTGATTTCAATATATCAAGTAAAAACGACGAAAAATAAAAGAAATCTGGGTCAATGGAAAGTTATGACAGTGCACACAATTTGATGCAGAACTGGCTCGAATCAAGCGACTCGTGGTGCAACACTGGTGGAAAATTGAAGATTTTTACGACAACCAACACATTAAACTCGAATTTCCGATAATAAAACTGCGCCCGCTCAAGGCGAGTGAAGTAAAGACAAAAAAACATCAAGAACACAGACTTAACTAGCGCTTTCCGGTATAGCGATTAGCCTAGGCGATTTGCAAGAAACTTTTACTTTCGCACCTATATTCCTGAAACCTGTATCTTCAAGGTTGGTTTGCCCATAACAACAAGTCGCTCTTTGCCTATGGGTAGCGAATTATTTAAACAATCCGACTTGCAGCAGTTAATGCAGGCAAAGAATCAAGGCCTTTCTTCAGATGTTGCTCTAATTTGATGGTGGAAACATGTTGAAGAAAGTTGGAACACAAAATGGGACAAAATGAGAAGCAGTTTCAGTAGAAATTTCCAAGTATCTTCAGTTACATTTCCAATTTCTCCTAAGCCAGAAAGTTGAAGGAGAAGAAAATACCCCACACTGTTTTTCAATTGGTGAAGGTTAAACACGACTTAACTTCACGAAGAGGTACAAACCATTTCTTCGTGAAGATGCTTCAAGTTTACATTCAAGATGCAAGTAACGGTTCTTTTATTTTTTCTTCACTAACGTTGCATAGTTTCGAACCATATAATCTTTCTTCAATATCTTCGTAGATATTGAAGATCTCAGGTGGTAAAGTTCAATTTAGTGAAGACTTCTGGTCTCAAAATAGGTGATTAACAACTTCTGAGTCAGGAAATTAAAACAGAAGACATTTTTCCCAGAGTCATCTTCAATAGAAGTTTCTTATTAAGAGAAGAATCCTAAATGTGAAGATTAATGAATGAGTTCTTCGAAAGTAGCTGTGAAATAAGAAGGTATTGAGCAATTTGCTTGTGAGGAAAATCTAAAAAGTGGAAAAACCATGGAATTGGAGCGTTCGTTTTTAATTGAGTTCGAATGATTTGATGATGAAGACTGTCGTCTGTCTTCGACCAAATGGAAGAAGGAGCACAAGATTGAATCTTTGTTATGTTGCAAACCAAATACTTTCTGCTGAATAGATATGGATGATGAGTTGGGAATAAAACGATCTTTTTTGCAACGTTTCTTTTCACTTCTTCTAAGTCAAGAAGATAAAATACAAAAAACTTTTCACTAAATGTTTCCCATTGGAAAAACAGCCCTTAACTTGGAGTGGATTTATTGATTTTTTCAAAAGAAGCTACGGCAAATTTCTTTGCGGATAAGTAGAACGTTCCAATGTTGGGTTAAAGGTGCCAAAAAAGTGGAGCGTTCATTTCTTATTGAATTCAAATGGTCAATAATTGAAACTAACTGTATTTTATTGAATGTATCGTCAACAAGTCGGAAGAAGTAGATGAAGATTTATTGTATCTTATGTGCAGAGATATTTGGACTCTCAGGTGGCAAAGTTCGATTTTTCAACAAAATGATCTTCAGTTCTGATGTTTCTTTTGATCCCTTCCAAAAAAAAGTATCCCGGACTGTCCTTCAATGAAGGTTTTCCATTCAATGAGAATTGAGGGATGCTGAAGATGGATTGATTTCAGCTCAAGAAGCTGCAAATTGGGAAGATAGTTACCAGTTCTCCCTGCTTTGTGAAAAAGAAGCAGAAGATTTCCAGTTAGGTCCAAGAAGGAAAAAATGTCATACGTTCAAGCCTGTAGATGTATGGATTTGAACCACTAAAGCGTTCATTTAAACGAATCCAAATAATCAAAGAAGAGCAGTAGTTCCTATCTAGGATTGAAAGTATCTTCAAGCAGCTGAAGAATGACTATCCCCATAACGTTCGCAGACACTCGCACTCTCTGGTAAAGTTCAATGGAATGAAGAAATGCAGTCTTCAGGTCAAGCACGATTTGCTTGATGATTCTCCCACAAATAATCTTCAGTTCCGATGGCCTTTTTCACTCCATCGCAGTTTCCAATAACCAGCAGCAAATCAGCGAAAGCAACAGCTGAGGAATCGCGAATTTCCATTACGAGCTTTCGCAAGCGATCACATAAATAGAAACTAATTATCGAATCGAGTTCAGGTGTTCGGGTTGCAAGCAACGACAAAGAATCGATCGATGTCTTCAGCAAATGCCAAATACAAGGTGTTGTAACTTGACTGGATGGCATTTCAGCCGGTTGCAAATCGAGAAATGCTCCATACCGATGTGGAGGGTTGGCCAAGGTTGGTCAACTTCAAATTAATTAACATTTATTAAACTTCTTTGGCGATTTGCGCGGTTGCCCGATAGAGATTCACTTGAAATCTTATGAATTCCGAGGCCAATAATCAATCAAACGTTATATAACGTTACATTCGAATCAATTAAAACCGCACCAAATTGCTATAAACAATCACGTTTGTCGACTTGTTGGAAACGGTGCTTTAGTCTTTTCCGATTCGTGCGTGGAATGTCAAAGAGTCTCAATCGCAGGCAATTAAAGTGTTTTGGTGACGCGGCAATTTTTCAATAAATACTTGCAATATGAATGTTAATTAATCGGCAGGCACACAAAATGTCGCTGAATAAATTTACATAACAAACTCTTAAGACCGCGTACTTTCTCTTTTACAGCTAAAAACATATTCAACCTCGCGAAATGTCTACATAACCCATTAAGCTTGCAGAAATCCAAGAAATCGCAACTTTTTCCGGCAGTTAACACCGTCTTTTTTTCATAAATTAAACAAGAAACAAGCGAGAATACCATCAAAGCTCCAGGGTAATTGAATCAATTGAAACCGGCACAGAACCGAGAAATTTGAAAAATGGTACTCACCTGCGCCCAGCAGGAAAAAACACAGCCAAAGACTCTTGGTACCCATGCTGATGGATCGGTCACTAGCCAAGAAGTGAATTCGGTCCCGCTATATATTTATAGTGCGTCCTTTTTTTGAGTGCGCATGTGTGTATGGTTCCTTCTTCGTTGCACTTTCACTTGGTCAGCTCTTGCGATCAAATGGTTCTATGCTCTGTAGGTGCCTCTACTTATATTTTATTAATAACTTTGATTTCTTTGACAATCATGACCCAACCAGTGGTGGAGGCGGATAAACCTACTTTCTGTCTCAATCTATTATTGACGTCTCATAGAAATTCTTCATTGAAGAACAGCCGAAGCACACTTTCTGTTGCTTCAACTTTGTGGCTAAAAATGAATGGAGGAAGCATCCTAACTGAAGACCACTTCATTTGAAGTTTGCCATCCCCATATTGCTCCACAAAAATAGTGAACATCCTTAAGAATACTGGAGATATTAATACTTCAGCTACTTCTTCCGGCCAGTTGAAGATGCATCACTTTAAGCACAAATATAGGTAAATTAAAGCTGCAACAGCCTCAAAACTGTTGCTCATTTCCTAGTTTCAACCATAGTTGCAATCTTCTACTTCTTCCCCACTAGCCAAGAGCCACATGTTTTCTGATTTTGCATCATATTTTGAAGAAATCATTAATTCCCCTTCATGTTAATTGCTGCTCTTTGAAGAAACATCCACTGAAGATCATTTTATTTCGAGAAATCAATTATTTCTCTTAAAGGTTTGGACTGTTCTTCTAATCAAAAACATTCATTGAGAACATGATTTTTTCCAAATAATGTGCTTCATTGAAGAGCAACCGAATAAACCTATCTTCAGCTTCAACTTCTGGATTAAAGGGAATGAAAGGAAGCATCTTCTGAATATYACTTAGTTTGAACATCATCATTCCCATATTGWCTGWCTAGCAAAATKTTMACTAAATTGWACAGATTGATTCTTCAGCGAMWTCTTCCCGCCAGTTAAAYATGCRAMATATAGAGAAATGGAAGCTTTAAAAGCCTCAAAACTATGGCTYATTTTGCATTTTCAATCATAATTYACAATCTTCTACTTCTTCCTCACTAKCCAAKCGCYACATGTCTTCTGATTTTACAGCATATTTTGAAGAAACCATTAATTCCTTTGCATGTTTATGGCTGCTCTTTGAAAAACCTTCCATGCATTGAAGAACAGCCTGGAAAAACTTTCTTCTGCTACAACTTTCTGGTTTGGAAAGAGTGAAAAAAAAACATCGTAACTGAAAAACATTTTTTTTAGAAGAAATCAATTATTTCTCTTAAGGTTTGGGACTGTTCTTCTAATGAAAAACATTCATTGAGAACATTATTTTTTTCAAATAATGTGCTTCATTGAAGAACAGCCGAATAAACCTATCTTCAGCTTCAACTTCTGGATTAAAGGGAATGAAAGGAAGCATCTTCTGAATATTACTTAGTTTGAACATCATCATTCCCATATTGTCTGACYAGCAAACTTAAAATTTTCACTAAATTGAAGATATTGATTYATCAGCTACTTCTTCCGGCCAGTTAAAGATGCGAAACCTTAAACRCAACATTAGAKAAATGGAAGCTYTAAAAGCCTCAAAACTATGGCTCATTTTGYATTTTCAATCATAATTTACAATCTTCTACTTCTWCCCCATTARCCAAGAGCAACATGTCTTCTGATTTTACAGMATATTTTGAAGAAAYCATTAATTCCYCTGCATGTTTATGGCTTATGGCTGTTCTCTGAAGAAACATTCATTGAAGAAACRCATGGGAAAACTTTCTTCTCCTCTAACTTTCTGGTTGGAAAAAGTGRAAAGAAACATCGTAACTGAWRATCATTTTATTTAGAAGAAATCGATTAATTCTCTAAAGGTTTTGGACTGTCCTTCTAATGAAAAACATCCGTTGGAAACAAAATTGTTTGCAATTAATGTGCTTCATTGAAGAACAGCAGAATAAAATTTTCTTCAGCTTCGATTTCAGGATTAAAGAGAATGCAAGAAAGCATCTTAACTGAATATTATTTAGTTTGAACATCACCATTCCCATATTGCCTGACCAGCAAACTTCAAATTTTCATAAAATTGAAGATATTGATTCTTCAGCTACTTCTTCTCCGGCCAGTTAATGATGCAAAACCTTCAACACAGCATTAGAAAAATGGTAGCTTCAAAAGCCTCAAAACTATGGCTCATTTTGCATTTGCAATCTTCTACTTCTTCCCCATTAGCCAAGAGCAACATGTCTTGACAACATGCCCTGAAGAACATCATGGGAAATCTTCCTCTAACTTTCTAGTTTGGAAAAAGTGCAAAAAACATCATAACTGAAGATAATGTTATTTTTAAGAAATCAAGTAATTCTCTTCAAGTTTTGGACTGTTCTTCTAATGAAATCATTAATTGAGAACATCATTTTTTCCAATTAATGGCTTCATTCACTAGCTAAGACCCACATGACTTCTGATTTTGCATCTTCTTTTGAAGAAATCAATAGTCCTCTACATGCTTATGGCTGCTCTTTGAAGAAACATCCATTGAAGAACAACAAAAAATTGAAAGAAACACCGTAACTGAAGATCATTTTATGAAAAAATCTTCATTTAGATATTGCTTGAGTAGCAGATTTCAAATCTTTCCTAGATGCAGTTCGGCATGAGTTTAAACATTTCGGAACATAATAAAGGCAGTCATTCTACAGCTGATTCTTCGCTTGCTTGAAGATAGATTCAATTCGAAGTCTTCAATGACTCAAATCTACGGAATGTTACTAATAAAATTGTTATGTTTGTATCTTCTAGATAAACTGGGAAACTTCTGCTTCTTCGCCACAAAAATTTCCTCAATAACTTTTTATTTAGCAGTTTATTTCGAATAAATCAATCATTCTCTTTAAGGTTTCGGACTGTTCTTCTAATGAGGAACATCCATTTAATCAATTTTGAAAACTTGATCATTTTTTCGAATGAATGTTCTTCATTGTTGAACAGCCGCATAAAATTTTCTCCACCTTCAACTTTTGGATTAAAGAAAACGAAAAGTAACATCTTAACTAAATATTACTTAGTTTAAAGATCACCATTCCCATCTGGCCAGACCAGCAAACTTCAAATTTTTACTAAATTGAAGATATTGATTCTTCAGCTGCTTCGTCCGGCCACTTGAAGATGTAACACCTAAAGCACAACTATAAACAAATGAAAGCTTCAAAAGCCTAAAAAAATTGTGCATTTTCAATATAAATTTGCAATCTTCTACTTCTTTCTCACTAGCTAAGAGCCACATGACTTCTGATATTGCATCTTCTTTTGAAGAAACCATTAATTCCTCTGCATGTGTATATGGCTGCTCTTTGAAGGAACATCCATTGAAGAATAGCCTGGGAAAACTTTCTTCTTCTCTATCTTTCTGGTTTGGAAAAAGTGATAAGCAATATCGTAACTGAAGATCATTTATTAAAAAAATCTTCATTCAGATATTGCTTGGGAAACAGATTTCAAATATTTACTTCATGCAGTTCGGTATGAGTTTAAACAGTTCGGAACATAATGAAGACATTCATTTTTCAGCTGCTCTTTCGCTTGCTTGAAGATACATTCAACTTGGCCTTCAATGACTCAAATTTACCGAACGTTACTGATAAATTGTAATTTTTGCACCTTGAAGGGAAACCAAGAAACTTAGGCTTCTTCGCCACAAGGAAATGGCTCAATATCGTTTAATTTAGCAGTTTCTTTCGAATAAATCAAAAATTTCCCTTAAGGTTTCGGACTGTTCTTCTAATGAGGAACATCCATTGAACCAATCTTGAGATCTTTATCATTTTTTCGAGTGAATGTTCTTCATTGAAGATCAGCCTAATAAAATTTTCTTCAGCTTGAACTCCTGGATTAAAGGAAATGAAAAGTAGTATCTTAACTGATACTACTTAGTTTAAAGATCACCATTCCTATATGACCAGACCAGCAAACTTTAAATTTTCACTTAATTGAAGCTATTGATTCTTCAGCTACTTCTTCCGGCCAGTTGAAGATGTAACACCTAAAGCACAACTATAGAGAAATGAAAGCTTCAAAAACCTCAAAACTTTGTGCATTTTCAATATAAATTTGCAATCTTCTACTTCTTCCTCACTAGATAAAAGTCACATGACTTTTGATTTTGCATTTATTTTGAAGAAATCATTAATTCCTCTTCATGTTTATGGCTGCTCTTTGAAGAAACATCCATTGCAGAACCGTCTGGGAAAACTGTTGTCTCCTCTAACTTTCTGGATTAGAAAAAGTTAACAGAAACATTGGAACTGAAGACCGTTTTTTCCAAAAACCTTAATTTTCAATTGTTTTTCCAATTTTTCCAAATTTCCATTTTCAATCCAAATTTCACTCAACTGAGATTTCAAATATTGCCGATAAGATATTGAAAAAGAGTTCAATACTTCAAGTTGGTAGAACTTCACTGAAGAAAGCTTCAATGGTTGAATTTTATACACCGTTTTTGCTAAGATTCGGCTTGAAACTCTGGCGTTTTGTGCATCTTCAACCTAAATTTTGAATATTCTGCTTCTTCTCCATCAACTAATATCCCCTGCGTTCTCAAGTCGTAGTTTATTTTGCAGAAATTATTATTCCACTGCACTTTTAGGGTCGTTCCATCCATTGAAGAACAGTAAGAATGCACGATCTTGTGCTTCACTTTGCTGGCTTGGAAGAAGGGAAAATATGCATCGTAACAGAAGATCATTTTGTCGGAAATTCCTCAATTACATATTGCTTGAAACGAAGATTTCGAATCTTCACTAAATGAAGTTTGGTGTGAGTTTAAACATCTCCGAACATAATGAAGATATCTGGCTTCTTCGTCAGAAGGAATTTGCTCATTATCTTCTCATTTCGCAGCTTATTTCGAAGAAAACGATCATTTCACTTCAGGTTTTGGGCTGTTCTTCCAATGAGAAACATCCGAAAGCAATAAAGACCCCAATCCATTTGCTGCTTCTTCGTTTGTTTGAAGATGGATCTAATACAAGGAAGCAATCAATCTTAATCTTTGATAGTAAAGTGGTTCAAATATAAAGAACGTTGAAACTAATGGGTTTTTCGGGTTTTTAGGCCGTCGTTGGGTAGAATTGCTTCTCGACGTTTCGCAAGCACAAGTGGCTTGCATCTCCAGAAGTGGTTTGCTTGAAGGCTTACACTGTTCTGATGATAATCATCAGAGTTTAGTGTTGCAGAAAATTGAAATCACCACCACATTTATTTAACATAATTGACTTGCATTTTTTCGCCAACAGGCTTCAACTCTTCGGGAAAAAGTTTTTCACCTGAGAGTTAAACTGTCTCTGCACTTATTAAAGATGTTAGTTCTTCAGATGAACAGCGACAGTCAATACAAGATGGCAATAGTGGCAACGGTTGAAAAGCGCAGAACTTTACTAGTAACATTTAGCGTTCTTCTTCTGGAACTTTATCTTCTTCCGTAACTTCTTCTCCATTTCCTCCACCAGAATCTTCCCATCTTGCAGCTTCGTTCGAAGAAACCTTCATCCCAATTCTTAAGGGTTGTGCTGGCCACAACTTTCTTCTGCCTAAACTACCCTGCCTAAACTAAATTCCTAAGATTTCAAGTTTGACTAAATTTGAAGAATTTTCTGAGTAAGTGGCATAATCCTGAATAAATCCACTGTTCGAAGCATGCAACGCCACTGCTAGAGGTCCCACCTTTACATTCTTATCAAAATCAGCGCGTATATAAGGAGTTGTTTTCGAGACATTTGCAGGTCCGACTGATTGCCATCGAAATGCGATAGAAATTGACTATTGATGTTGTGAAAGGCCTAATGGCGCATTCTTTCAACTAATCAGTTTCTATGCCGGCGATTAAAAGCCACTTATATCCCGATCGAAGGAAATGAAAGCTGGCGAACGAATTTTAGAAATTTCAGTGGCATTTCGCCCGTTTGCAAAACCCGAAAATTATTATTTTCCCACCTACTTATACATTATTAGAGTATAATTTATAAATGTGTTGCTTCACACAAGCCCACTGTCGCCCCGTCCATTGTTTGCACCCTAATGGCACATATTTAGGATAATCCGGTTACTTTATGCGTTCGAATCCTTAAAGGTTAACTTGATTAGGCAATTAGAGGAATAGTGAGTGGTCGAGACATTTTTCAATAACATCCAAAGCACTTTGAGTGACCTGATGAAGACTCGCCCACCTAAACTCCTCATTGAACTCTTTGTCTGGTTGCCAAATCAAAGAAAGATTCAAATCGGAAATAAACTATCATCGTGTTCGTCATCGGGCTTGGGCTGGTAAAAAATAGGACACGTTTGTACGTTCACCGAACGTTCCAGCAGGATGTTTTTCCAGTATGGCAGGTTTGCCTTGAACGGACGCATTCGTAGTACTGCAGAAGGAACTACTGCTTTCGGCTCTGGTCGTAGCTTCCTTGACATTTTTAAGCTTCGATTCATGCACTTTCTAGAATCGAAGCGTTTCAACCGCCTGCCTGATGAACAATCCACTTTTTCATACCAGAAGTTGTTAGATTTGAAGAAAACAATCATTGTTTTCCTCGTTCCGTTGTTCAACTGTTAAAGGTGCGATGTTTGTAATAACTTTTTTTTTTTGTTGTTTGTTGTTTTGCTGAATTGATTAGATGCATATTTAGGCAGAGTAGATTTTAGTACAGCAAGATTAAACTTAAAAAGCTTAAACTTATGTTGAATTTTCTGCCATTTCTTCAGTAAACGGAGGTAGAGTAACAGTTTCGTCAAAAATGTCCGGCGCAAAAAGCCAAACGAGAGGCGAATTAGACGCGTGCGTTTGACAATTATTTTTAGAGAAATGTTTGCTTTTTTTGCTTGCAAAGGTCAATTTGCCCACAATTAATTATACTCGAATGTTTTCAATTGCTTCAATTGCTCCAAAGGTTGCTGCAAAAATATGTCAGCCAAAAGTGAGGCCAAAGAAGAATTAAATATCACTTTGGCAACATTTAATAAAGAAATTCTTTTGCGCGAGTCAATTTGCTCATAATTATCTTCAGCTATTGCAATTTCTTCAGTTAGTAAAGCTGAGCGAGAAACAAGTTAGCAATTTGCCTTTTGCGGTAGTTAATAGAGAAATTCTTGCACCTTTCGGCTTGCGAGTGTCAATTTTCTCATAGTTATCATCAGTTGTTCGCAATTTTTTCAGTTAATAGAAATAGAGGATTTTTTAACAGTTTCTGGAAGTTACAAATTTGCCTTTGTCCACACTTAATAGATAAATCCATGTACTTTCCGGTTTACGACTCTCTATTTGCCCAAAAATAGTCCTAAAATGTCTGCAATTTTTTCACTCAGTCAAAATATATCTAAGGTTTCTTCAGAACTGTGTTAAGCAAATGAGAGACAAGTTAGAATTTTGCCTTTGACGACATTTAATAGAGAAATTCTAGCATGTTTCGACTTCTCATAGTAGATTTACTCATAACTGTTCTTAAATGTCTGCAATTTCTTCACTCAATCAAAATATAGCAAATATTTCTACAACAATGTGTGAAGCAAAGGACAGACAAGTAGAAGTTTTCTTTTGAGTACACTTAATACAGAAATTATTGCATTTTTCGGCTTGTCAAAGTTAATTTGCTCATAATTGTTCTTAAATGTCGGCAATTTCTTCACAGTCAAAATCTGTCAAAGGTTTCTTCAAAAATGTGTGAAGCAAAGGAGAGACTAGTTAGAAAATAGTTTTTGACTACATTTAATAAAGAAATTATTGCATTTTTCAGCTTGTCAAAGTTGATTTGCTCTTAAATTTTTGCAATATCTTCACTCAGTCGAAAAATAGCAAATGGTTCTTCAAAAATGTGTGAAGCCAAGGAGAGACAAGTTAGAAGATTGCTTTTGACTACATTTAGTATAGAAATTATTGCATTTTTCGGCTTGTCAAAGTTGATTTGCTCATACTTGTTCTTAAATGTCCGCAATTTCTTCACTTAGTCAAAATATAGCAAAAGTTTCTTCAAAAAATGTGTTAAGTAAACGAGATACAAGTTTACTAGAGAAATTCTTGAATTTTTCAGCTTGTGAGTGTCGATTTGTTCATAATTGATCTGAATTGTATGCAATCGCTTCAGTTCATGGAAATATAACAAAGGTTTCTTCAAAAAT